TACCTTTAACACTGAAATTCTGCTGCCCATTTCCTAAAATGACCTCCAAGTTTTGACACCAAATCATTTTTTAGTCTGTCAATCACTTATGCTCAGGGTTCTGCTGTTCTGAGTAGAACACAGACTTCAGTGGTGATTTATCCTTTCATGGAGCCCCAGTGAAATAATTAAACCCTTGAATTCCATGAACTCAGACACACTTTGCTGCCCTTCTGTGACAAGAAAAATCCCTGTGGGTGAGCACTGGCAGGAGCAGGAGGAGCTCAGCAGCAGCTCCAGCGATCCCAGTCACTTGTCCCCAGCAGGAATTTATTTTATTTGATGCATGGAAAGGCAAGGTCAGGCCAAGAATTTTTGGGGAAAGCCACTGAGCTGCTGCGTGGTGGAGCTGCCGTGTCCAGGGGGTGAGGGAGAGGGGGATGCTGGGCTTGGTCACTGCCAGAGCCACTCCCGGGTGACATTGGGCACTGACAATGTGCTGTTTGCAACCAGGAGTGACAGCAAAATGCAAAGCAAACAAAAAGCAGGATTTAGCCCAAAGGGATGTTCCCTTGTCCCAGGCTCGGGTCAGGTCCCTGCTGCTGGAATGTCACTCATTGATCTCAGTGTGCTTGAACCAGCAAATCCTTCCAGCACAGGGCTCCTGCTCAGGGACCAGGGATGGACTCAGGGGACACAGGAACAGTGGGACTGTACCCACAGGTGGGGAAGGAGCAGTGATGGTTCATCAGCAGCCTCACAGAGCTTCCTCCAACAAGCACTTACGGAAAAAAGGGAGTTTTAAGGGAAGATGTTGGAAATGGAAACAGGGGTGTTTTCCTGGGGTCAGCAGCAGGGACAGCCCAGCTCTCCAGCTGCCTGTCCAAACCAGCTGCTTTCCAGACTGGCATAAACTGAAGCAGACAGGTGTTTTATGCCATAATTGCTGCATCTCCCCCCAGAGTGCAGCTGCAGTGTCAGTGCTGAGCAGAGACAGCCCTGGGTGTGCTGGAAAAGATTCCTGAAAAAAATCCCAGAATGGTTCAGGTTGGACCTTAATGACCACGGCATTCCAACCCCCCCACAGGGAAAAAAAAGAAAAAATAAACAAAAAAGAGCTTTTCCCCTGCAGGGAGATGAACCCAAAGAGCAGCAGGGACAGCCCAAAGTGGAACTGCTCCTTCCCATTCCATACCTCAGGATGGAGCAGGAACTGAGCAGTGATGGAATGAGGGACAGGTCAGCACCCCAAGGCACCCTGAGAGCACAGTACCTTCTTTTTCCTCTTTGGCATCAACAACCTGAGAGTCAGACCACTTCTCCACGACCTCCCTGCACACATCGTTCAAGAGATCTTCTTCCTAGTGAGGGAAATGAGATTCCTCAGTCTTGGAGTCAGACAGGAGAAGTACCAGCTGCAAAGAATTTGAAGCCCCAGCAGTGAGCTCAGGACACAGCTTTTCACCCCAAATCTGCTCATTAAACACACCCACAGGACTCTGGTTACCCTGGGGTGACACAATCACACCAGGACTGGTCCCTCTGCACACCAACAGCTCCAACACACGCGGGGTTCATGACGGGGCTGTGCTGGTACCACAGGCACAGGCACAAGGAGGCACTTGGGGATCTCTGCTCCCAAAATCTACCGCCCAGAGTCCTCTCTCTTCCTGAGCAAGGCCGCAGGGAAGCGACTCAATGTCACCTCCATGCCCACAGAAGGGAATAAATGACTCTGGATAAGTTGTGGGTCAGGGCCAGGATGGAGCTGACACCACTGTGGTGGCACTGACAGACCATCCCCTGTCAGCAGCAGGGACAGTGTGGTCCCCTGGCCTTCCTGGAGCACCAGACACGACCCAGTGGTGGCAGCAGGGGCACCCACACTGTTCTTCATTACTGAGCATCCACAGATGGCTTTTCCCCTCTTCTTTCCCCTGTTATTCCAGAGGCACCAGGTGTCTCAGAGACAGCTGGACAGCGGGGAAGCTTACAGCAGCTTCTCACAGAAGTCACCCCTGTGCCCCTGCTACCAAACCCTGGCCAGGCAAAGCCCTCCCCCTGCCCATGCCGAAAGCCCTGAGAGGCCAAAAGCCTGATGAACTCTGCCTAGAAAAGAATTTCTTCTGCTCAGAGCAGGTGGGTTTTTAGGTCTGGGAGAACCCACCAACCCCACTCCCACCAGGAGTGACACCAGGATCCTGCCAGGAACACGCCCTGGGATGAGCAACAAGGATGATGTGCAGGGAAACAGCACCTCAGGGGCAGTCAGGGGGACCCTCCCAGCCCTGGCACACAGCAAGGCACAGGAAGAGAGGGAAAACCAGCACGGTTTGGCTGCCCCTGGATCCCTGGAAGTGTCCAAGGCCAGGTTGGACGGGGCTTGGAGCAACCTGGGCTAGTGGAAGGTGTCCCTGCCCATGGCAGGGTGTGGCACTGGATGAGTTTTCAGGTCCCTCCCAACCCAAACCATTCCATGACTCCACGATTCTAAGATAGGAGGGTTTTTAAGTGCCAGGAACACTCATGGCAGAAGGATCCTGTGAATGGATGGGCTCCCCTGGGTGCAGGGAATACCAGCCCACAGGAATCAAGGCTGGCAGAATGATAAGGAAATTTATATTAAGCCTGGAGAGAGAGCTGGGAGAGACACATTCCCTGGGCACCTGTCTCAGGGGCAGGAGGAAGGAAATCAGGGAAGTGATTGCCAAGATACAGGAATGGGAAGGGAAATGGAGAGAAATGAAGATTCACAACGAAACGGCAGCGACCGGCACAAATGAGGTTGGTTTGGAGTTCAGTGAATACAGAGAAAAAATAACCATGGAAAATACAAGTGAGCCAGGTTCTGTCTGGTTTGAAGAAAAGAACTGGACAGAAACAGAACCAAATTTTAAATTCCTTGATTGGAAATGGTGACACTTGAATAAACTCATGAACTAGTGCAAGGCATGGTCAGCACTGTGGAACCACAGACACGAGTCCAGATGTCACCTGAGCTTCACTTTCATAATGGTTGTGAAAAACAAACAAATGAACAAAGAAAAACAAACAAATGAACAAAAAAATCACCTGGAATTTGTGTACAGAACTAAGAGAAAAGACTTGGCAAGAAAGGCCCCAATTCACAAAATAAAAGATTGTTTCACAAGTCAATAGAGAAATAAGCACAGAATCTACAAATAAAGAATAGGGGGGAAAAAAGAACATAATAAAAAGAGTAATTACAAATTCTGAGCGTTCAACAGACTAAAATGTTTTACAGGAATTGCAGAAAAATTCAACTGAGCTGGAAACTGCAAAGGAGCAAAGGAAGAGAAGGAACAGGCTGTGATGGGACAGTGAGAGGGCACAGACAGTCCTGGACTTGATGGGAACTCAGGACTGGGGAGAAAAGGGAAAACAGCAGAATGTCAGGAAAGGGCCTCAGCTCAGCCAGGACACTCCCAAGCCTGGCAAGGGTCAGACAGGGGACTCTGGTGATGGAGTGAAGCAAGTCTGGTAATTAAAGAGACATTAATTAACCTTGGCTACTCCAGAACAGCACTTTGCAAAGACATCTGGCTCTGTCCCTAACACTGTTTGCTTCTCCTGCTGTTTTAGGCTCAAAGCTGCAGGAAGGAGCTCACTGCTGGTGTACAGCCCTGGGGGGGGGGGTGGCAAAGGCACTGAGGGTGCTCTGACCTCTAGAAAACCTGCCTGAAATGGCACAGCCAGTGAACAGCACGAACGAGGTGACACTGTAACCTGTGATAACAAAAACCTGATCTTAATGACCAAGCCCCCTTGGGTTTTGTGCTCCCACACTGGTATTTTGGAAGGAAATCAGCAGACTGTTACCAACAGCAGCACCACTCACTAATTAACATCTCACACTCTGAAACATCCCTTTATGGAACACCCCGAGACACTACAAAAATCATCCAGGAGAGGACTGTGGAAGAGAAATCCCTTCCTGCACTCCCCTGGCTCTGTCCCAGGAATGTGCCAGGGGCAGAGACAAGCCCTGAGCTCCCCCGCGGCTGTTCCTGCCCGTCCTGGCAGACACCACGTGCTGTGGGGAACGGGAGCAGCTCCCAACACCCTCCCAGACCATCGCCGGGGGATTTATCCTTAAAAGTCATCTCAAACCACGCCAGGGCTCTCCCGGGAGTGACCCCCGAGCCCTGCACACAAATAACGGGGATCGCTGCCAGAGCTTCCACCGGCCCCGAGCTGGCACAAACCCGCAACCCACCCAAAACACCACAAGGGTCCCGGGGAGGGGACAGAAAGGCCCACGGAGGTGCGTCCCTCCTCGGGAAGGCGGTGATCCAGCCGGCAAGGGGATTATCCATCCCGGGAAGGGGGTGATCCAGCCGGGAAGGGGATTATCCATCCCGGGAAGGGGGT